TCTACAAGCTAGATAGATTGATCAACTCACCAAAAAGCTTATTTTTCAGCAAGAGTTTAATTTTTCATGTGGACAAATGTTTTCAATCTAATTATAGGTCTGTTTCAGGTCGTAAATCTTTTGTTCTATTTTGGAACTTGAAGGAGAAAGATATATTTCAAACTTTGGAATGAATGATGGTGAATTTCAAAATTGTGTTTGATGTTCTTAGTATAAATATTTACATATTTAAATTAGTATCATATAGTTTAGTTTAAATGGATTTTTATAAATTTACATAGGTTTTACATATACGAGGTCTGTTCAAAAAGTATCGGACTTTCATTTTTTCCGTGTAAACCAATGATGCGCGGGAGGACTCTTTCGGTGGAGTTGTGCAGGGGACAGTCATGCACAGCCCTGATTTTTTTCCCGCCTGCAGGAAGCATCAGTCGTTGGCAGTCGGCCGATGAGTGAGGACATGTAACGAGCTCTCGTCAGATTCCACTAAGTTGGAAAATGACTGAACAACGTGAGCAGCGATATTACATCAAATTTTGCCAAAAACCTTGGCGATACCCGAGCGTAAACCATTCGCAAGATTCAGCAGGCTTTCGGGACGATCCTCGAGGCCATAAAAAGCACGGCAGGCCCGCAGAAATATCAAGGTCATGTTGACAGTTTTTTCGACTCTCGTGGGGTGGTGTATCGTGAGTACGCACCACAAGGCCAAACCATCGCAAAGGAGTACTACCAGAAGGTCCTTCGTCGTCTTTCCGATGCTGTGCGACGCAAACGACCGGACCTGTGGTCGATCAAAACTTGGCAGCTCCATCGTGATAACGCATCCGCCCATTCTGCGCATCTGATTTGGGCTTTCGTCGCCAGGCACAACACTCCTCCGGTTTGTCACGCTCCGTACTCTCCCCACATGGCTCCGTGTGACTTTTGGCTATTTACCAAGCTGAAAATGCCGCTAAAAGGAACCCGATTTTAGTCGAGAGAAGACATCATGCGGAATGCGATGGACCGGCTGTTGGTCATTCCAAAAGATGCGTTCCAGCAGTGTTTCCAACAATAGCAGTAACGCTGGGAGAAGTGTATACACTACCAAGGAAACTACTTTGGAGGGGATTAGGGTTTTGTACCTCAAAATCAATAAATGTATTTTTGCCGACCAAAGGTCCGATACTTTTTGAACAGACCTTGTATGTTTTTTTTAATTAATGAGGTCTATTTTCTTGGTTCCTGTATGGATCATCATAAAGTGTTTGCCAAACATTTGAAATCTTCTCCTCCTCCTTAAAATGAAACGTTCACTCTCCCAATCTCACTTTGTAAATCTCTTGCACTTTAGCTTGCTCTTCTTAAATGGTGTGTCCAATAAGACTAGATTGTTCCAAGTTTGGTTTCACTCTTGTTTTGGAGGCATATGTGGATAGAGCAGTGGTTTGTTTTTTTTCCTGTATTATATTTGTATTCTGCAATTCATTTAGTCAGTGACCTGTTAGTGTATTCAATATACATTAGGTCTTACTCAAATCTTTTATCCAGTACCAGGATATTATATATTCCTGGTGCCCTCATTTTATTCATGGGATTTTTACAATTATGTAATAGCTTATATATTGATGGATTTCTCCTGTAAGTATGGTGCCTCTATTTCTAGCAATTTCCCTATATACAGGATGGAGTGTTTGATCATATTCAACAATTATTGGTCTGGGGTTATTTGTATGTTGGGGGTTATGAGGATTTGTTGTGGTTCATTCATTCCTTATACAGGGAAAATCCATCAATATATAAACTATACATAATTGTATAGGTTCCATGAATAAAATGAGGGCACTGGGGATATATGAGATACTGATATTGGACAAAAAATTTAAGTGAGATCTAGTATATATCAGATAGACTAATAGATCACTGACTAAATGAATTGAAAAACACACATATGACAAAAGAAAAAATAAATTGCCTCTCTGTTCATATATTTCTCCAAAACAGAAGTGAAACCAAACTTGGAACAACTAGTCCTATCAGATGCACTATTCAGGCAGAGCATGCTAAAGCACTGGAAGCTCTGGAGATTTACAAAGCAAGATTGAGAGGTGGCAATAACAAAAAAAGAAAAAAAAAATACAATAACTCTATACCCCAAAAATGAATTTAGCACTCTGACAATTAATGGAAACTGACAGTTAAAAGTGTGACAAATAATCGAGTATTTGCCATACTTTGAAAAGAAAATGACATTTAAGGATTGGGACAAACTAGTCCTATCAGACACACCATTTAGGCAGAGCATGCTAAAGTATTGGAAACTCTGGAGATTTGCAAAGAGAAATTAAGAAGGGAATGCCTCAATTTAAGGAGGAGGGGAAGATTTCAAGTATGTGGCAAACATTTTATGATGATCCAAATGGGGAACCAAGAAAATGGATCTTATTAAGAAAACATGTGTAAATTTATATTACATTGATTTAAATATATAAATATTTATACTAAGAACATTAAATACAATTTTGAAATTTACTATTATTCATTACAAAATTTGAAATCTATAATTAGGTTGAAAACATTTATCCACATGAAAATATGTTTTCTTTGGAAATAACAAAGGAATAACAAAACTGCTGAAAACAGTTTTGTTATTCCTTTATTTTCTTTGCTTCTTGATTCTCACTAATTGGGATATTCATGAAAGTTTCTGGAAATATATAGCTATAGAGTCAAATATTGCATCTGGGTCAAGTTGGTTCAGTGTTTCCTTGAAATGTTTAATCCATTATATCAGGTTGTAAAAGTGAAATTTAGACATTTTACTTTTTACTGGAACATTTGATGTGAGTGTATGTATGTATGTGTATATATATATAGAGTAACTAAAGGGCATTTCATCACATATTGGAAATAAATGCATCAGCAATGTCTGACAATATGAAACTTTATAAAGAATACATTTATGTGCTATTTCTCAATCATTTTAAAAGTGGCAATAATGCAATAAAGGCCCCCAGTCTCATTTGTCTCATTTCACAAGGACATAGTCAACAGGTAGATATTCTACGATTCAAGGATAGAGATTTGTCACTTCAAGATGAACTCCCATTTAGGCAGTAATTCCACCATTGATGATGACATTCTCCTGCAACTGATAGACAATAATCCTTGGATGACCACCAGAGAGTTAACACAACAATTTGAGTGTTCCCCTAAACTCCAAAAATTGGAAAATCCAATACCACCAGGAAAACATGCCAGCACATAGAGAAAAGATGACCTTAGCAAAGTTGGCTAGTCTGTGCTGGGAGGTTCTGCTCATCCACCTTACAGCCAGACTTTGCACCAAGCGATTACCCTCTGTTTTGTGCCCTGCAGAACCATGTTGCCAATAATAAAGTTCAATCGCAACACTGATGTGAGAACAACAATCAAGACTTTCTTCAAAGAAAAATCACAGCCATTCTATGCTTACAGGAAGTTTGTAGCAGAGGTGATGAGATATGATTGATATTGATAGTGATTGCTGCCATTTTCAAACTGATCATTGTTGAGTTAATTGTCAATAAAAGATTTTTCAAAATGTCTAAATTTTTACCTTTACAACCTGATATATGCTGATCTTTCTCAAGATGCAATTTTCCAGTTTTGTTCATAATAGGGACTTTGGCATTATGTCTCAAACTTGTTAAATCTCATAAGTCTGTTTTTAAGTGATTTCTGTGTGCTACATCCTGTGCCTTTTCTCTTGCTCTCGAGCCATTCTCTTGTCATTTTCACAGCTGTGATCTAAATTTTGCTATGACCTCTGTCTGTTTTTCAAAGTTCTTGTCTGTTCCATGTTTTATTCTAGATCGAGTACTTGTTTCCTAGTGTTGCTAATGTGTTTCTCTCTTATGTTCCATTGTTTCCTCTGCAGTCCCCATCATGCATGTACTTGTATTGTGCCCAGTATTCCTCAATTTAATTCCTGTAGTTATTTGAACCTTTTTCTGATTTTTAATTGATACTGATCAATAATAGATCAATGTTTCAGTTTCTCCACCATAAATGGACTAAATTATTTTCTCTGCCATCTTGTTTCAACATGTAGTTTTATGGAAATCCTACAAGGTAATGATTTGATCCTATGTCAGTCCTTGTTTGTTCTTACATCCTATAATGCTGAGTGTCATTTTATACTAATACAGATGTAGTCAGTTTTGTTTCTAATATACTAATTTGGTGATTGCCAGATTTTTCTTTATTTGCAGACAAAATAAATTGCAGAAACTATTTATACAATAAAACTGAAAGAAACATTCCCCATTGTCATTTGTTGAGCTGACCCATGTGGTCCAATAACATGTTCTAACCCTATTCTATTTATATCATCATCATCAGCTTTATTAAAATATTAATTTTAAACTTACGATGTACTATATATATATACAATGTATATGTAATATGCACATAGGACATATAATAATTATACAGACTATAATAAATTATTATTTATTTTAGTATTCCTTTATAAAACTTTATGCAAAAAATTGCTATGTAGTCACTAAATTATATTTCTATTATTCATATTCAAATACTTTTTATTAAAATAATAATGCAATAATTTAAATATTTAAAAAATGGCTGAAAATTAAGCTGCTGTAATTGTTTCTTGACATTCAATAATTTTTTATTTTAAAATAAGATTGAAAATATGTCTAAAAAATCACTCATGATACTAAAAATTATCAAGTTTTATTTTTATTAAATATAAATTTTAGTTTAAAAATATTCATTACAATTTCTGTAAAATTTATATAATCATTTTAATTGCTTGATGCATAGTTCTGCAACAAGTGACTATAATTGAATTTTTGTTGAAGTTCAGTTTGATGACAATATAAGAAATATTTTTTTATAAAGAAATATTTGATAAAAAATTCATCATGAGAGATTTTTTAAAAATAATTTTATATATATAATATTTAGATTGCTTGTTGTGATTTTAATGTATAATCATTTATATTTATCTTTAGTTCTGGAGATGAAGATGATCCACCTGAAATTAAAGCAGAGAAAGAAAAAGAAAGGCGTCAGGCAAACAATGCACGAGAAAGGTATGATTACTTTGCTCAAAAATTTTGTGACTAGTCTTAATTTTAATTAAATTTATTATCAGTTAACTTTATTTAATTTTTAACTTGAATGGTTTTCATTTGAAATTGGAGATAATTTGAATATTGCAAATATTTTTACATTCTAAAAATGCAAGCTGGAAAAATTTTGATTGTAATTATTTACTAACAATTGATTAAATAATTAGTAAATAATTACAGGATATAATATAAAATAAAATACATTCATTGACAAAAAGTTACATACCCAGATAGAATTAAATGATTACAGTTCCATTTAATTGATGCCAGGTAAGAGTTCATTAAAATATGACTTTTGCAATGAAGGGCAATATGATGTAATGAAAATATGTACAAATTTTGTGACAGTTTGTGATGCAGTGGGGGGAGTGTTAACAGAATGATAATGTTCTAAATACAGTGGGTGATCAGTTAACGAACAGTTCGGATAATGAACACTTTTGCAAAAGACTTTTATGTTCGGAGAACGAATACCTCACAGACCTCACAGAACAAACACAAGAAGAAGTGACATAAAATAATGAATATTAGTTTTATTAGTTTTGATTATGATCATCAGTTTTATTAAAATATTAATTTCAAACTTATGTAGTATGTATATATATATATATGTAATATGCACATATAATAATACAGATTATAGTTTATTATTATTTATTTTAGTATATAGTATTCCTTTATAAAACTTTATGCAAAAAAAAAATTGCTATGCAGTCACTAAATTATAATTTCATGGCTTCCCCTGTCTTCAGGCAACAATTTGAAACTTTTCGGAGCACAGGAGACGTCAACATCGATGCTGATCGGATAGTATTCCTCCGAACATTGAACCTCTCCCTTGTAATTCCAGCCTTTTATTTTTCTGACAGAAACAATTCTTTTATAGTATTTGCAAGACTGTCGGGCAGGCACTCGTTAAATTTTGCATTGGTTTTTGTTTCTAAAGGTGATAGTATAATAGCAAAGGTAGAGAGTGGGCAGTATGGCTTGAACAGGTCTACAGTAGGTTGCAGTTCATTCTTATCTAAGAAAGATACAGTATAATCAAGAAAATTCAAGCAGCTAAAGGAGTAACAAAAATCACATTTGAGAAATAAAGAACACTGAAGAGCTCATAAAGGAACCTGAAGCTGATCTGATGACAGAAGAATGCCACGAACTCTTGAATGAAGAATACCAAGAAACTTGGCGAGATATGTTTTCTTCTGAAAAAGAGGATTAATTCCGATATCTGTTATTAGAGATCTTTTGAAGAAGTAGGAGGATGTTAGAACAACTGTTTTAGAATAACATTCAAACCAGGTTGGTTGAGGTTAATAGGCTTGAGGATCTCTACAATTACAATGCTATTAACAACAAAAAACTTTTCCTAACCTGTTACTGGTGCATTCTCCTTCTTATATAAAAATCATAACCAACAAAAATTACATGCGTTCTCCTTCTATAAAATCGTAACCAACAAAAATAGCTCTTTACTAACATTTTCGAATCTCAACGATGGTTCTTCTTCAGGTATTTTTGAATCTCTGATGGAAATGCAGCTCGTAAAACATCAAATTCGAAAATATGTCTAAAATAGTTTCGAATTTGATGTTTTATGAGCTTATATTTTTATATGATTTTTATATAAGGAGAATGCACAGGTAACAGGTTAGGAAAAGTTTTTTGTTAGTATTCTCCAGTGTTGAGATAAACATGTATAGTATGCTGTTAATTACTTCTGAAAAATCCTGAAAAAGAGAGAAAAGCAATCGATATTAGACAGATTCTTTAACCCTCCCACAAACGGAAAAAACATGAGTAATAAAAATGTAAGACCGTGTATATATGTATTTTTACTATTACATATAAATCAACTTAGTAAGAAACTATATATTTTTTATTTTTACGAGTCTCCTGAACAAATTAATCAAATTTTCATAAAAACCTATGATAAATCGATAATCAGTTAACAAACAGTTCAAAGTCTTGGAACAGATTATGTTTGTTAACTGATCACCCACTGTATTCTCAAAACTTTTCTTATTTGAACAAGTTCTCACCAAAATGATTATTCAGAAATATTTTGATCAATGATTCATACACAGTAAGTTCTTTCTTATTTAATCCTTTTACAACTATAGGGTAAATGGTGACTCCACTCTCTGTCAACTGTAAAAAATATTAATGGCCACAAAAGAAAAAAATTTAGAAATGTTTTGTAAAAAATAGACTTAAAGATAGACCTTTAATATTTTTTATAGTTGACACTGTCTGGAAAGGATTTTCTGCCAAAAGCTTTATTTTGCAAGTTACATTAAAACTCATATCTGTTATCATGGGATCAACTATGACCCCAAGTTAATTTTTTTTCATTTTGATAGGTCTCAGTGCCTCTTTCTTCCCTTATATGTGGTGAATTTTGTGTGGAATTGTGAAATATCCATTAATAATTGTTCCTGAAATTTTCTGATTGTCCTCAGATGAATTATCATTTGACAAACTGTTGGAGTTGTTTCGTCATCCACTTCTGTTATTGCAATATTATTATTATCATTATCATCATCTGAATGGTCTTCATAACTATCATACAAGATGTCTTCTTTGCATTTTCTTATCTATCACCTACCTACTGAAACAATAAATAGTAAATTTCACTGCCCATAAAATTTGTTCTCTATCTTACCACCAAACAAACATGACTAAAAAGAACATCTCTGATAGGACAAATTAATGCATCTTCTACTGGAAAAAATAGGAAACAATAAAAATTGATCATAATGTGGCATGTGACAACTTTTTCATAAGCCTAGAACTTGCAAGAAAATTGAACCAATTGCAATTAACACTGCTGGGTAGAGTCAGAAGAAATAAACCACCTGAATATCCTAAGGAAGTAACAGAAATAACAGTTCAAGAAAAGTTCTTGTCAGTATTTGCTTTTCAAGATCTGGTGACTGTTGTAATTAGTTTAAGTTTTTCAAACTGTCCATGTTTGTGCTTAGCAGAACTGTATCATCATTTAGTTTCATTTTCTTTTTTTGTTGGTAGGCTTTATTTTTTAATGCTGTTTTTTTTTTATGGAAGTAACTTTTATCCAGATTAAAAATGCCATTTGGCTTGTATAACATTTTTCTTTTAAGGAATTTTTGTTCCATATTCAGAATTTTTTTGGAATATTCTGAATGTTTTCATTAATTTAACAGGTTTTCCCCTCCATATACTTTTTAAAAAATCATTCCATGATGAACATTAAATCATTCCAATCATACTTCCATCATGTTAAATCAATCTTGGAACGATATATTGATCTTGATAGACAATAATAAATTTAAAATTAATGTAATTGTGGATTGCATATCACAATGATAAGTTTGTCTCATAGAATTCACTTCTAAAGAAATTATAGGTTTTACCACATTCTCCATATTTTGTTTGCTGCTCACTAACTTATAAAATTTATTAAATTTTGCTTACACATGATGCTCGTGTATAATGTCATTTGCACTGAACAAAGTCAACTTTTCCATTTTGATGACTTTTCAATTACAGTTTGTAACTTTTTTAAGCTATTGATTTTTCATTTGTCACTTGTCACTATATTTGTTGTAATTATATAACAAACATTTAGCAGTTTAACTTAGTTTATTAAATTTGACTTATCAATACAAATATATATTATTAATAATGAATTCCCAATAAATAATAATTATTATTTATTGTGACATGATTAAAAATTGCAGCATAACATTAGGCTGCAATTTTTAATAATCTTTTAATGAAAAAAAAAATCACATGATTTTCAGTCCAGACTAGAAGTTTGTATACAGTTGATTGGTGCCTCTGTCCCTAAGCTTTCTTCATCTAGTCTCAATTTTTATGTATCTAACTATGTTATCAATATTAATGAAATACAGATGAATGACAGTGGGTGTAAATAGGTCTACAGTTTGAAAATTGCGGTCCAGTGATTTAGAAATGAATCATACTCATGCACAGATGGTGATAAATTAATAAATATACATAATTTTTTTACAAAATAGATATCTGCATGATTTTTGTCTTGCTATATAATTGTTTTACATGTAAAATTTGTCTGCAAATTTGTAAAATATGTTAATATTATTTTTATTACAGAATAAGAGTTAGGGATATAAACGAAGCCTTTAAAGAATTAGGTCGCATGTGTATGATGCATTTAAAAACAGATAAAGCCCAGACCAAACTGAATATTCTTCATCAAGCTGTTGAAGTTATAACAAGCTTGGAACAGCAAGTTCGAGGTTATATGCTTGTTGTTGTTATTTTAATCTTGTTTAGTAACAATGAATAATAACTCTAAATAAATTTACAGAACGAAATCTGAATCCAAAAGCTGCCTGCCTAAAAAGGCGGGAAGAGGAAAAAAATGAGGAGGGCCCAAAATTAGGTATGCATGCTATTCCTCATCCACAAACTTTGGAATCATTACCACATCAGCGGTTGGCCACTACAATACAGGTATGTTTCTTTATTTTTTATGTATATGTAAAATATATACAATTATTTGCAAAAAAAATCATACACCATGAAGGAGTTGTCAGAATTGAAGGAAATTTTGTGTTTGTGATTGTAACATTAATATTAGTAAATGATTACATCATCATACAAAATAATTGTTTATTATGGAAAAAGTGCACACATGACGGGTTCTAGTACATTGTTAGGCCACTTCTATAATGTATAAAGATGCAATATGGTTGGCATGGAGGCATACAGATGCTGTATGGTGTCTTGAGATATATCTGTCCACAGTTGCTGTAGTTAGATCTTCAGATAATCCAAACTGGTAGAATGTGGAAGTGCATCAGTATGGTCCACACATGTTCTATTGGTGATAAATGTGGTTACCATACAGGTCAAGGAAGTGTGGCAGCCTGGCAGAGACATGCTTGTAATATCCTTGCTGTGTGTAGTTGCTCATTATTCTGCTGGAAAATGGTTCCATAGAGACTTGACATGAGATGTATCTCATGGCTTCAGGATGTTCTGAATATACTGCCACATCATATCACTACTAGGGAAGACTGGCTGTTGTATGTGTTAGCTCTCCACACTAACACCTGCTGTGGGAGATGTGGTGCTTGATAGAAAAAGCAGGATTAAGGCACTGACCAAGGGGTCAGTGGCTTAATCCTGTTCTTCATCACAGCTATCGTCTGGCCATACTGAACCTGTATTTGTCACTGAAGACAACCTGATTCCATTCTTTAGCAGTCCAGTTTCTTTGTGAACAACAACACTGCATATGAATATGATGGCAAGTGGTTGTCAATGGTAGCACACATAATGTATACCATGAGACCAAATGTCCTTCAGTAAGGCATCTTGAAACAGTACTGAGAGACTAGGACCTGTAATGATGGTGTCACCTGGATGGAAGACAATGATGCAATTGAAAGTGTTCATGCTTATTGGAGGAGCATATGGTCCTCTTTCCTGGAGGTTTGTCAAGGATGTCCTGAGCTCACTTGCCATGTGTAAGGGTACTCACACATGGCAACTGATTTCAACACCACCTAACAGTCTGGTCAGAATGGCCATACAGTAGTGCTGGGCAGTTTGTCAATGGGACCATCCAGCTTCTCTCATTCCAATAATACAGTCTCTCAAACTATTACCTGGGCAAATTCTTTTTGATTGTGTCTTAAAGATATGTCCAGTGATCAAACATCCTTTCACAACAGAACTATAGACAAGATGCTTCCAAGAGCTTTTTTTAAGCTTAACACGGGAAGTACTGTTACACTCATCTAATGGCAAGCTCATTCATCTCATCACATCATATCTCTAATCATTTGCATATCTGCTTCAACATCTGAATGCCGAGTTTTTCCACAAAGCAGCAACAACTTCAGGGTGCATGATTTTTTTTTGCAAATGAGTATATATGTGTTACATATTTTTAATTTTAACCATTACATAAATAATAAGATGAAGAAAGTTTTATGATATTGTTTTAAATTTTCTTATCAAAAATCCATATTTAATTATAGATGTACATAGTTATAAAAACATATTCATTTCATTTTTAGTTAGTTACTGTTTTACATATATATCTTAGATCTTATATTCAAAAATTAAGTTTCATATTTTTAATAATATTTTGATTTTAAATGTAAGTAGTTTATAGAATTCTAAACTCAAGTGATTGCTATATAACAATAAGAAGAACAGTAAAAGTATTACACTATATTTTATCAACAATAAAGTATGATTTATATCTGATGTTAATTTATCAGAGTCTGCAGATAATTGAATGATAAAAAGAAGTATGATTTTCTCCTTATTATTCTTCCAAGTTAATTTTTAGTGAATTTTTAATTAATAAACAATTAAGGCATTTGTTAACAAATTGTAACTAATGTAAAGATAAAGATTTTTTTAAAGAAAATATAACAAATAAATAAATAGCATCAATTTGATAAAATTTGTTTCTGCAGACAAAAAAATTCCAGAAATGTTATTATATGGCAGATTTTCACATTTCTAAATGTAAGAAAGAATACACCATTGGAGAAATGTTCTTTGCAAATGCCTTTCATGGGCATTTACAATGAACTATTTGGCAAAGAACATGAAACAAAAATAAATTGCATTCCAATGTCAAATAATATTGTAAGGTTATGAATAATCAATATGTGTGATGACATTGAATTACAGTTGGTGGAAAAAATACAAAAATCTCAGTATTGTCCAATTCAACTGGACTAGGCATCCCCAATAAGACAGTCTCAGGGATTGATTGAAAAAAAATCTAATGGGTTATCTTTCTGGTTTTTAAATAACAGTTGTACTTGAAATTTGCCCAATTAGTATTTTATTTTGCATATGGCTTTTTCAAAATAAAAACAAAACAAAATCATTTTTAAATTAAGTGTTTTTTGTGATGGGAGTAGATACCACAGTTATAATTCATATAGTAACATTATAGAATAATACTGGAAAAAGATGTGATTATAAATATTCATAAAATTACATTTATTATTTTTCAGTACATTGCATTTTACTATGTTTGCAGTATCATAAATTTTGAAATATATATACAGGAAATTCTTATTAATTTGAACTTAGATAGTTTGTAACTGTACTGTTTGTTCCATCCAAGACTATAGAGATTTACATGTTAAGGAATTTTGTTAGTTTGAAATACAGCTACTTAAAATTCAAAGTGAAAATTCTGTCCAAACTGTGATAGGGTATGTTAACTCCTTTGTTTAGATCAAAATACCTTTGTACTATAAGAGAACAATAGATCAAGAACAAATTCTAATCTGGTTAATATGGTTTTGCTTTTATAGTAACACATTTTTTGGGTATCACCTTACCCATGGACTATCCTTTTTTTCTCTTATCTCATAAAAGACAACTGGGTAATTGGCATTGCAAGATTGGGCTAAAAGTAGCAGATTGAAATATTTGTAGGGCTCTACACTACTACATTTGTGCGACTTACTACTTTTTGGGCCACATTTTGGCTACATTTTGAGAAATTCTTCTTTACTTTTTATAAAACCCATCTGGCAACTTGTGAGGTTCTCACCTGATTTGTGCTGTTTATCTTCATATTTATATTATTTATAAAAATTTTATAAATAATTTTATTATTTGTTTTACATTATTTATTTTATTATTTTATATTATTATTAAATTTTAATGGATGAAAATAGCATTCTGTATATGTATTCGTATTCTGTTTACTTAATAAATTATATAAATTACATGGCATTTGACATATACAGAAATATGTAAATCTCTGCTAATTCAAAACTATAATTACAAGTATTTTGTCCCTTGAATTTCGAACTAATGAGGATTTCCTGTACTAAAAATAAAATAATTTTTTATTTATTTATAATAGTTTTTCTAGTATTATTTTCATTTAATGTTTAGACAATGAGCTGTCTTTAAGGCTAATGTCAGACGAGCATGATTTCACATCTGTTGTTTTTTATGGATGTGATGAGATTGCAAAAACATACAGGATGGTCCAACTGATGTGGATTCAAAAAATAACACTGTGTTGCATAGACAGGCTGCTGAATCGTCTGCTATAATCTCATGATGGAATGTGGCCCATGCACACTGTGAACTATACTTCAAGCCTATGGTCATCAGATGAGCGTGTAAAACAATGGACGGCATAACATTGTTTCGAAGAAGTGTCAGGTCCTGATGAAGAGTTACAGTACATGTGTATTTTAAAAAATGCACATTGATGTAAGTAAAGTGATCAAACAAATTAGTGAGGGGCCAAAATTGTGAGAAATTTCATTTGCACTTTATAAAGACAGAAATAAAAAAAAGGAAGGTCAGTTACACTCAAAAGTACGTACTCAATATTGCTTGTCTTTCTTTTCTTCTAAATATTTCTGCACATAATAAAAAAACAGTGCATCACAGCCTATGAGATTCGTGTCAACATATACATGTCTAAAACAAAACTGACTACTAACGTGGTCCATGAAGTATAGTGCTTATCTGACCGTCAACTTGGCCACCATGAATCAAAAAAACAGCATCCAAATGTTTTCAAGCTAGTCTAACATTAGCCTAAATATAATAAACTATATTTTATCAACAATAAAGTATGATTTATATCTGATGTTAATTTATCAGAGTCTGCAGATAATTGAATGATAAAAAGAAGTATGATTTTCTCCTTATTATTCTTCCAAGTTAATTTTTAGTGAATTTTTAATTAATAAACAATTAAGGCATTTGTTAACAAATTGTAACCAATGTAAAGATAAAGATTTTTTTAAAGAAAATATAACAAATAAATAAATAGCATCAATTTGATAAAATTTGTTTCTGCAGACAAAAAAATTCCAGAAATGTTATTATATGGCAGATTTTCACATTTCTAAATGTAAGAAAGAATACACCATTGGAGAAATGTTCTTTGCAAATGCCTTTCATGGGCATTTACAATGAACTATTTGGCAAAGAACATGAAACAAAAATAAATTGCATTCCAATGTCAAATAATATTGTAAGGTTATGAATAATCAATATGTGTGATGACATTGAATTACAGTTGGTGGAAAAAATACAAAAATCTCAGTATTGTCCAATTCAACTGGACTAGGCATCCCCAATAAGACAGTCTCAGGGATTGATTGAAAAAAAATCTAATGGGTTATCTTTCTGGTTTTTAAATAACAGTTGTACTTGAAATTTGCCCAATTAGTATTTTATTTTGCATATGGCTTTTTCAAAATAAAAACAAAACAAAATCATTTTTAAATTAAGTGTTTTTTGGGATGGGAGTAGATACCACAGTTATAATTCATATAGTAACATTATAGAATAATACTGGAAAAAGATGTAATTATAAATATTCATAAAATTACATTTATTATTTTTCAGTACATTGCATTTTACTATGTTTGCAGTATCATAAATTTTGAAATATATATACAGGAAATTCTTATTAATTTGAACTTAGATAGTTTGTAACTGTACTGTTTGTTCCATCCAAGACTATAGAGTATGGTGTCTTGAGATATATCTGTCCACAGTTGCTGTAGTTAGATCTTCAGATAATCCAAACTGGTAGAATGTGGAAATGCATCAGTATGGTCCACACANATTTTCGAAAGGTGATAGTATAATAGCAAAGGTAGAGAGTGGGCAGTATGGCTTGAACAGGTCTACAGTAGGTTGCAGTTCATTCTTATCTAAGAAAGATACAGTATAATCAAGAAAATTCAAGCAGCTAAAGGAGTAACAAAAATCACATTTGAGAAATAAAGAACACTGAAGAGCTCATAAAGGAACCTGAAGCTGATCTGATGACAGAAGAATGCCACGAACTCTTGAATGAAGAATACCAAGAAACTTGGCGAGATATGTTTTCTTCTGAAAAAGAGGATTAATTCCGATATCTGTTATTAGAGATCTTTTGAAGAAGTAGGAGGATGTTAGAACAACTGTTTTAGAATAACATTCAAACCAGGTTGGTTGAGGTTAATAGGCTTGAGGATCTCTACAATTACAATGCTATTAACAACAAAAAACTTTTCCTAACCTGTTACTGGTGCATTCTCCTTCTTATATAAAAATCATAACCAACAAAAATTACATGCGTTCTCCTTCTATAAAATCGTAACCAACAAAAATAGCTCTTTACTAACATTTTCGAATCTCAATGATGGTTCTTCTTCAGGTATTTTTGAATCTCTGATGGAAATGCAGCTCGTAAAACATCAAATTCGAAAATATGTCTAAAATAGTTTCGAATTTGATGTTTTATGAGCTTATATTTTTATATGATTTTTATATAAGAAGGAGAATGCACAGGTAACAGGTTAGGAAAAGTTTTTTGTTAGTATTCTCCAGTGTTGAGATAAACATGTGTAGTATGCTGTTAATTACTTCTGAAAAATCCTGAAAAAGAGAGAAAAGCAATCGATATTAGACAGATTCTTTAACCCCTCCCACAAACGGAAAAAACATGACTAATAAAAATGTAAGACTGTGTATATATGTATTTTTACTATTACATATAAATCAACTTAGTAAGAAACTATATATTTTTTATTTTTACGAGTCTCCCGAACAAATTAATCAAATTTTCATAAAAACCTATGATAAATCGATAATCAGTTAACAAACAGTTCAAAGTCTTGGAACAGATTATGTTTGTTAACTGATCACCCACTGTATTCTCAAAACTTTTCTTATTTGAACAAGTTCTCACCAAAATGATTATTCAGAAATATTTTGATCAATGATTCACACACAGTAAGTTCTTTCTTATTTAATCCTTTTACAACTATAGGGTAAATGGTGACTCCACTCTCTGTCAACTGTCAACTGTAAAAAATATTAATGACCACAAAAGAAAAAACTTTAGAAATGTTTTGTAAAAAATAGTCTTAAAGATAGACCTTTAATATTTTTTATAGTTGACACTGTCTGGAAAGGATTTTCTGCCAAAAGCTTTATTTTGCAAGTTACATTAAAACTCATATCTGTTATCATGGGATCAACTATGACCCCAAGTTAATTTTTTTTCATTTTGATAGGTCTCAGTGCCTCTTTCTTCCCTTATATGTGGTGAATTTTGTGTGGAATTGTTAAATATTCATTAATAATTGTTCCTGAAATTTTCTGATTGTCCTCAGATGAATTATCATTTGACAAACTGTTGGAGTTGTTTCGTCATCCACTTCTGTTATTGCAATATTATTATTATCATTATCATCATCTGAATGGTCTTCATAACTATCATACAAGATGTCTTCTTTGCATTTTCTTATCTATCACCTACCTACTGAAACAATAAATAGTAAATTTCACTGCCCATAAAATTTGTTCTCTATCTTACCACCAAACAAACATGACTAAAAAGAACATCTCTGATAGGACAAATTAATGCATCTTCTACTGGAAAAAATAGGAAACAATAAAAATTGATCATAATGTGGCATGTGACAACTTTTTCATAAGCCTAGAACTTGCAAGAAAATTGAACCAATTGCAATTAACACTGCTGGGTAGAGTCAGAAGAAATAAACCACCTGAATATCCTAAGGAAGTAACAGAAATAACAGTTCAAGAAAAGTTCTTGTCAGTATTTGCTTTTCAAGATCTGGTGACTGTTGTAATTAGTTTAAGTTTTTCAAACTGTCCATGTTTGTGCTTAGCAGAACTGTATCATCATTTAGTTTCATTTTCTTTTTTTGTTGGTAGGCTTTATTTTTTAATGCTGTTTTTTTTTTATGGAAGTAACTTTTATCCAGATTAAAAATGCCATTTGGCTTGTATAACATTTTTCTTTTAAGGAATTTTTGTTCCATATTCAGAATTTTTTTGGAATATTCTGAATGTTTTCATTAATTTAACAGGTTTTCCCCTCCATATACTTTTTAAAAAATCATTCCATGATGAACATTAAATCATTCCAATCATACTTCCATCATGTTAAATCAATCTTGGAACGATATATTGATCTTGATAGACAATAATAAATTTAAAATTAATGTAATTGTGGATTGCATATCACAATGATAAGTTTGTCTCATAGAATTCACTTCTAAAGAAATTATAGGTTTTACCACATTCTCCATATTTTGTTTGCTGCTCACTAACTTATAAAATTTATTAAATTTTGCTTACACATGATGCTCGTGTATAATGTCATTTGCACTGAACAAAGTCAACTTTTCCATTTTGATGACTTTTCAATTACAGTTTGTAACTTTTTTAAGCTATTGATTTTTCATTTGTCACTTGTCACTATATTTGTTGTAATTATATAACAAACATTTAGCAGTTTAACTTAGTTTATTAAATTTGACTTATCAATACAAATATATATTATTAATAATGAATTCCCAATAAATAATAATTATTATTTATTGTGACATGATTAAAAATTGCAGCATAACATTAGGCTGCAATTTTTAATAATCTTTTAATGAAAAAAAAAATCACATGATTTTCAGTCCAGACTAGAAGTTTGTATACAGTTGATTGGTGCCTCTGTCCCTAAGCTTTCTTCATCTAGTCTCAATTTTTATGTATCTAACTATGTTATCAATATTAATGAAATACAGATGAATGACAGTGGGTGTAAATAGGTCTACAGTTTGAAAATTGCGGTCCAGTGATTTAGAAATGAATCATACTCATGCACAGATGGTGATAAATTAATAAATATACATAATTTTTTTACAAAATAGATATCTGCATGATTTTTGTCTTGCTATATAATTGTTTTACATGTAAAATTTGTCTGCAAATTTGTAAAATATGTTAATATTATTTTTATTACAGAATAAGAGTTAGGGATATAAACGAAGCCTTTAAAGAATTAGGTCGCATGTGTATGATGCATTTAAAAACAGATAAAGCCCAGACCAAACTGAATATTCTTCATCAAGCTGTTGAAGTTATAACAAGCTTGGAACAGCAAGTTCGAGGTTATATGCTTGTTGTTGTTATTTTAATCTTGTTTAGTAACAATGAATAATAACTCTAAATAAATTTACAGAACGAAATCTGAATCCAAAAGCTGCCTGCCTAAAAAGGCGGGAAGAGGAAAAAAATGAGGAGGGCCCAAAATTAGGTATGCATGCTATTCCTCATCCACAAACTTTGGAATCATTACCACATCAGCGGTTGGCCACTACAATACAGGTATGTTTCTTTATTTTTTATGTATATGTAAAATATATACAATTATTTGCAAAAAAAATCATACACCATGAAGGAGTTGTCAGAATTGAAGGAAATTTTGTGTTTGTGATTGTAACATTAATATTAGTAAATGATTACATCATCATACAAAATAATTGTTTATTATGGAAAAAGTGCACACATGACGGGTTCTAGTACATTGTTAGGCCACTTCTATAATGTATAAAGATGCAATATGGTTGGCATGGAGGCATACAGATGCTGTATGGTGTCTTGAGATATATCTGTCCACAGTTGCTGTAGTTAGATCTTCAGATAATCCAAACTGGTAGAATGTGGAAGTGCATCAGTATGGTCCACACATGTTCTATTGGTGATAAATGTGGTTACCATACAGGTCAAGGAAGTGTGGCAGCCTGGCAGAGACATGCTTGTAATATCCTTGCTGTGTGTAGTTGCTCATTATTCTGCTGGAAAATGGTTCCATAGAGACTTGACATGAGATGTATCTCATGGCTTCAGGATGTTCTGAATATACTGCCACATCATATCACTACTAGGGAAGACTGGCTGTTGTATGTGTTAGCTCTCCACACTAACACCTGCTGTGGGAGATGTGGTGCTTGATAGAAAAAGCAGGATTAAGGCACTGACCAAGGGGTCAGTGGCTTAATCCTGTTCTTCATCACAGCTATCGTCTGGCCATACTGAACCTGTATTTGTCACTGAAGACAACCTGATTCCATTCTTTAGCAGTCCAGTTTCTTTGTGAACAACAACACTGCATATGAATATGATGGCAAGTGGTTGTCAATGGTAGCACACATAATGTATACCATGAGACCAAATGTCCTTCAGTAAGGCATCTTGAAACAGTACTGAGAGACTAGGACCTGTAATGATGGTGTCACCTGGATGGAAGACAATGATGCAATTGAAAGTGTTCATGCTTATTGGAGGAGCATATGGTCCTCTTTCCTGGAGGTTTGTCAAGGATGTCCTGAGCTCACTTGCCATGTGTAAGGGTACTCACACATGGCAACTGATTTCAACACCACCTAACAGTCTGGTCAGAATGGCCATACAGTAGTGCTGGGCAGTTTGTCAATGGGACCATCCAGCTTCTCTCATTCCAATAATACAGTCTCTCAAACTATTACCTGGGCAAATTCTTTTTGATTGTGTCTTAAAGATATGTCCAGTGATCAAACATCCTTTCACAACAGAACTATAGACAAGATGCTTCCAAGAGCTTTTTTTAAGCTTAACACGGGAAGTACTGTTACACTCATCTAATGGCAAGCTCATTCATCTCATCACATCATATCTCTAATCATTTGCATATCTGCTTCAACATCTGAATGCCGAGTTTTTCCACAAAGCAGCAACAACTTCAGGGTGCATGATTTTTTTTTGCAAATGAGTATATATGTGTTACATATTTTTAATTTTAACCATTACATAAATAATAAGATGAAGAAAGTTTTATGATATTGTTTTAAATTTTCTTATCAAAAATCCATATTTAATTATAGATGTACATAGTTATAAAAACATATTCATTTCATTTTTAGTTAGTTACTGTTTTACATATATATCTTAGATCTTATATTCAAAAATTAAGTTTCATATTTTTAATAATATTTTGATTTTAAATGTAAGTAGTTTATAGAATTCTAAACTCAAGTGATTGCTATATAACAATAAGAAGAACAGTAAAAGTATTACACTATATTTTATCAACAATAAAGTATGATTTATATCTGATGTTAATTTATCAGAGTCTGCAGATAATTGAATGATAAAAAGAAGTATGATTTTCTCCTTATTATTCTTCCAAGTTAATTTTTAGTGAATTTTTAATTAATAAACAATTAAGGCATTTGTTAACAAATTGTAACTAATGTAAAGATAAAGATTTTTTTAAAGAAAATATAACAAATAAATAAATAGCATCAATTTGATAAAATTTGTTTCTGCAGACAAAAAAATTCCAGAAATGTTATTATATGGCAGATTTTCACATTTCTAAATGTAAGAAAGAATACACCATTGGAGAAATGTTCTTTGCAAATGCCTTTCATGGGCATTTACAATGAACTATTTGGCAAAGAACATGAAACAAAAATAAATTGCATTCCAATGTCAAATAATATTGTAAGGTTATGAATAATCAATATGTGTGATGACATTGAATTACAGTTGGTGGAAAAAATACAAAAATCTCAGTATTGTCCAATTCAACTGGACTAGGCATCCCCAATAAGACAGTCTCAGGGATTGATTGAAAAAAAATCTAATGGGTTATCTTTCTGGTTTTTAAATAACAGTTGTACTTGAAATTTGCCCAATTAGTATTTTATTTTGCATATGGCTTTTTCAAAATAAAAACAAAACAAAATCATTTTTAAATTAAGTGTTTTTTGTGATGGGAGTAGATACCACAGTTATAATTCATATAGTAACATTATAGAATAATACTGGAAAAAGATGTGATTATAAATATTCATAAAATTACATTTATTATTTTTCAGTACATTGCATTTTACTATGTTTGCAGTATCATAAATTTTGAAATATATATACAGGAAATTCTTATTAATTTGAACTTAGATAGTTTGTAACTGTACTGTTTGTTCCATCCAAGACTATAGAGATTTACATGTTAAGGAATTTTGTTAGTTTGAAATACAGCTACTTAAAATTCAAAGTGAAAATTCTGTCCAAACTGTGATAGGGTATGTTAACTCCTTTGTTTAGATCAAAATACCTTTGTACTATAAGAGAACAATAGATCAAGAACAAATTCTAATCTGGTTAATATGGTTTTGCTTTTATAGTAACACATTTTTTGGGTATCACCTTACCCATGGACTATCCTTTTTTTCTCTTATCTCATAAAAGACAACTGGGTAATTGGCATTGCAAGATTGGGCTAAAAGTAGCAGATTGAAATATTTGTAGGGCTCTACACTACTACATTTGTGCGACTTACTACTTTTTGGGCCACATTTTGGCTACATTTTGAGAAATTCTTCTTTACTTTTTATAAAACCCATCTGGCAACTTGTGAGGTTCTCACCTGATTTGTGCTGTTTATCTTCATATTTATATTATTTATAAAAATTTTATAAATAATTTTATTATTTGTTTTACATTATTTATTTTATTATTTTATATTATTATTAAATTTTAATGGATGAAAATAGCATTCTGTATATGTATTCGTATTCTGTTTACTTAATAAATTATATAAATTACATGGCATTTGACATATACAGAAATATGTAAATCTCTGCTAATTCAAAACTATAATTACAAGTATTTTGTCCCTTGAATTTCGAACTAATGAGGATTTCCTGTACTAAAAATAAAATAATTTTTTATTTATTTATAATAGTTTTTCTAGTATTATTTTCATTTAATGTTTAGACAATGAGCTGTCTTTAAGGCTAATGTCAGACGAGCATGATTTCACATCTGTTGTTTTTTATGGATGTGATGAGATTGCAAAAACATACAGGATGGTCCAACTGATGTGGATTCAAAAAATAACACTGTGTTGCATAGACAGGCTGCTGAATCGTCTGCTATAATCTCATGATGGAATGTGGCCCATGCACACTGTGAACTATACTTCAAGCCTATGGTCATCAGATGAGCGTGTAAAACAATGGACGGCATAACATTGTTTCGAAGAAGTGTCAGGTCCTGATGAAGAGTTACAGTACATGTGTATTTTAAAAAATGCACATTGATGTAAGTAAAGTGATCAAACAAATTAGTGAGGGGCCAAAATTGTGAGAAATTTCATTTGCACTTTATAAAGACAGAAATAAAAAAAAGGAAGGTCAGTTACACTCAAAAGTACGTACTCAATATTGCTTGTCTTTCTTTTCTTCTAAATATTTCTGCACATAATAAAAAAACAGTGCATCACAGCCTATGAGATTCGTGTCAACATATACATGTCTAAAACAAAACTGACTACTAACGTGGTCCATGAAGTATAGTGCTTATCTGACCGTCAACTTGGCCACCATGAATCAAAAAAACAGCATCCAAATGTTTTCAAGCTAGTCTAACATTAGCCTAAATATAAAAATATTGAAACTCATTGCTCATTTATTTTTTTAAACTGAAAAGCAGGGTCTTGTTATTCATAAGGCTGACTAGGCTGAAGCTTAGGGCCTAGCAAATTTTATTCACTTCAAAATATTACAGTATACAATTATATCCCCAAAATGTGCTTTCCTGAAGAGTTCTACTTGCACAATAAAAATATTTAAAGAATTATGAACAGAATTCTTCAGGAAACCTTTGAAATGGATATAAGACTATGTACTTCAGTCTAGTATACCATACCAGGTTGTCAGCTGTAGTGGGATAAAATATTGTCCCTAATTGAAAAGAGTAATTGCTTCATAAAAGAGTAAAATCATTTTATAAATAAACAATGTTTATTCATCCAGCTTTAAAATCTGCTTTGAGATTATCTGAAAACAGATATAATTAAAACAAAAATGTTATATCACAAAGAAATGGTTTGTTTAAAAGTGAAGTACTTTTATTTATATTAATTTCATGGTAAAAGTGTATTGTATACCAAACTTATGATTTTAAGTATACAATAAAATAATAGAGCAATTTAATAAATTATTATAAATTTAATAGTATACTATATTTATCTTAGTAATTATATTAATAAATTATAACTAAAATTTTCAATTTTTGTAGGGAACTCAATCACTATTGCCTCCCAGTCAGCCACAGTTGTAGAGCTTTCAATATTTTAGTCTACCATGTGGTGTAGTTGAAAGAAAGGAAACATGAGAAATTTTACAGGAACTATCAAAGTTATGATAGCACTCTGAGATAAGAGGCTATTATTCAAACTTCCCCATGTTGCCAAGTATTCTGCACAATTAAACAGGGCTGCTATCGTCGGGTTCTCCCTGTGAACTGACATGACTGCACCATGGGCATGCTTTTCATCAAACAAGTGTTTTTCTACTGTTATTTCACCTCAATGTATAAAAACATGTAGAAAATAGCAGCATGTTAAAATCAATGCTGTTTTTACAATGCCTGTTGCACTTTGCATATCAATTCTTGGTAAAAAAAAAAATTGGCAACTTATTTAAAAATGGCAAATCATATTTTATTTCAAATTGGATGAAAAGATTTGGTAATCATTTGCTTTATTCTAAATTTTTAGCCTGAATAATTATAGTGCTGCTATAATCACATGAACTATCCCCTTTTTCTGGCAATCATCATTCTTAACAGCTTATTACTGCCTCATGGTTTTGGGGATTGAGCAGTATCTGACAGCTTTCTTGAAAAAGTGTTGGAATGCAGCATATGCAGGAATTATAGTACTTAGCACTTGATAGTAAATCCTGCATTATGTTTTATCTGGCTCTGCTATGTGGAAGTCATTTAAAGCAGAAGGTTGAAGTGTATAATCATTACACCCATTGACCAAACTGCAGTTTGTACAGTGATGTTTTTACAAAAAAGAAAAAAGAAAAAAAAGAAAAGACAAAAGGTACTTTTCTGAAATTTTTTCCATCGTGTTTCTGATGAAAAATTATTCAAGTACTTAACATGGTAAGGAAACCTGAGCTTAAAAAAATTTTTAACATTGAGTATCTTAACTACAATTCATTCCATTATATTATTTTCTACTAGTATAGTTCATTTTGTTTTTTGAGACTTGTTATGAATGTAAAAGAAAGAATATTGACAATGGAAAGTTTTTCAATAATTGGATTAATTGGCACTGTGTTGACTTAATGAATAGTAAATGATTTGAAGACACAGAATTTATCAGAGGGCATTTTTATGTGCATATATTTGTCAAGTTTAGTTATTGTTATAAGAGGCATTTTTGAAAATCATGACCAAAGGAAATCCAATGAAAATGATTACTGATTTATATGTGTACTGCTGCTGTGTAGCAAGCATTTTTATTATTGTTATCTTGAGCAATTAGCTGTAGTGGAACTGCAGTAAAGCCTCATTTTAACTTTGCCAGAGCATTTTTTTTAGATCTGATGTAAAAAAGAAGAAAAAAGCTGAATTGTGAGGTAGATGCATTTGGCATATTATTGACTGTTTCATTGTTATAATATTTTTATACTGTCATCATCATCAATAGATCAGTGGTGCATATCTTCCCTACGCTTCTCTTAATCTTCAGAGTAGAGATAACTCTTCTGTATCCAGTGCCCATGGAAAGCAAATGGAAACTGTGTGGCTCTTGTCCTTTCTATTTTGGTATACTATTCTACATCCCTTGCTGTGTAGCATTCCATCATGGAATACTTAAGCACAAACTTTGCATATCGAAGGAAAGATGCCACTTGACTTGTTTTACTTGTTCACTCTATCAAGTTGTTTTTCTTTGAGTGAACTTCATAAAAACTTTGCCATATATTCAACGAAAGGGAGTTTAGAAGGCATGCATAAAGTAGCATTGTCTGCAAAATAAATCATATCTTCTATCTTTGTAGAAACAACTGAGGAGATACAAATGCCTTTTTCATTTCTTTTAATTCCAGTAGTGGAGAATATTTAAAAAGAAAAAAAACAAGGTACAAACTATTTGCCACATGTAATCATATATCTTCCTGCTTCCCAAGATATATTTATGTATCCTTCTATCCCTTGCCAATGGACTAACATTGTACAGACATCAATCAATGGTCCAGTACTGAATTCATCTGAAGCAGATGTGTGTTGCCTTTTCTGCTCCTCAAGAGAGTAAATGTATAGGAACAATATCCGTGAATTTAAGTGGCCACAAGTTTTCTTTAGTTTAATTATGTAGCCAGTAATTATGTTTGAGCTGGCATCAAGTACTTTATATTGGTGTTTGCTAATTCGTCATTTATTTTAGTTTAGTTTTCAATACTATAGACTTCTGTGTTTAATCATCATCATTCATTACAAATAGAGAATGCACATCTTTTTAAATCACTGTAAAAAAAAAACTGTTCATTTTTATCTTATTAGACATACATTGCAAACCACTTATTAACAAAAGTTACATCATAGTGTGGTATTATGGGCCTCATTCATTTTCTCAAACTTATATATATATAAATAAATAAATATATATATATATAAAATGATGACAAGTTATGCAAGCAAGAATATTTGATTAAATCTACACAAAAATATACTAAATATTGCTTGGTTTTATTTTTAATTATTTCTTTATGCTGAGCACTAAATTTTTAGTAATAGTGATTATTTTTTTTTTTATGACTGCTTTGTCATTTATTGATTGCATAAAAGTTTCTGTAAAATTTTGTTTTTGTTTCACTATTATACTTAAAATTTTACAATATAGAAAAAAGGCATTCCAGAAAGTGTGGTTTCACTTAGTACTCAAGTAAAGATGGTCAAGGTTTAAAACGTGAAAATATTTATGTAAATTGATGTTCGGATTTTTAAATGAATTAATTCCATATTCATTCAATACATGTTTAAATAAAACATATAGCTTTTATTATTATGAATTCTACTAAATGAATTTTAAGGGATTTAAATTAAAATTTTTCATTATATAAAAAGAAAATTAAAAATTATAAAATAATCTGAAAAATCAGAACTGCAAATTTAATTATGACACATTTTGCAATAAATTAATAAATTTGAATATTTTAAAAATGCCGAATTTTTTTAAACACTGGTAAATGTATACATATTAGAACAGTGGAATACAGTACATAGTGTTTTACAGATATTATCATAAGACAAACTAGAACTATTGCTTCTATTATGGCAAATTTTATTTTAACACTCAGAAATAGAAATAGTAATGAATTTTTTCAAAGGAATTCCAAATATAGTAGAATCTAAGAACATTTGAATTTTCTCAAATATACTATTTATATGAGTTTTAAAATATAAACAATGTNATAAATTAATAAATATACATAATTTTTTTACAAAATAGATATCTGCATGATTTTTGTCTTGCTATATAATTGTTTTACATGTAAAATTTGTCTGCAAATTTGTAAAATATGTTAATATTATTTTTATTACAGAATAAGAGTTAGGGATATAAACGAAGCCTTTAAAGAATTAGGTCGCATGTGTATGATGCATTTAAAAACAGATAAAGCCCAGACCAAACTGAATATTCTTCATCAAGCTGTTGAAGTTATAACAAGCTTGGAACAGCAAGTTCGAGGTTATATGCTTGTTGTTGTTATTTTAATCTTGTTTAGTAACAATGAATAATAACTCTAAATAAATTTACAGAACGAAATCTGAATCCAAAAGCTGCCTGCCTAAAAAGGCGGGAAGAGGAAAAAAATGAGGAGGGCCCAAAATTAGGTATGCATGCTATTCCTCATCCACAAACTTTGGAATCATTACCACATCAGCGGTTGGCCACTACAATACAGGTATGTTTCTTTATTTTTTATGTATATGTAAAATATATACAATTATTTGCAAAAAAAATCATACACCATGAAGGAGTTGTCAGAATTGAAGGAAATTTTGTGTTTGTGATTGTAACATTAATATTAGTAAATGATTACATCATCATACAAAATAATTGTTTATTATGGAAAAAGTGCACACATGACGGGTTCTAGTACATTGTTAGGCCACTTCTATAATGTATAAAGATGCAATATGGTTGGCATGGAGGCATACAGATGCTGTATGGTGTCTTGAGATATATCTGTCCACAGTTGCTGTAGTTAGATCTTCAGATAATCCAAACTGGTAGAATGTGGAAGTGCATCAGTATGGTCCACACATGTTCTATTGGTGATAAATGTGGTTACCATACAGGTCAAGGAAGTGTGGCAGCCTGGCAGAGACATGCTTGTAATATCCTTGCTGTGTGTAGTTGCTCATTATTCTGCTGGAAAATGGTTACATAGAGACTTGACATGAGATGTATCTCATGGCTTCAGGATGTTCTGAATATACTGCCACCTCATATCACTACTAGGGAAGACTGGCTGTTGTATGTGTTAGCTCTCCACACTAACACCTGCTGTGGGAGATGTGGTGCTTGATAGAAAAAGCAGGATTAAGGCACTGACCAAGGGGTCAGTGGCTTAATCCTGTTCTTCATCACAGCTATCGTCTGGCCATACTGAACCTGTATTTGTCACTGAAGACAACCTGATTCCATTCTTTAGCAGTCCAGTTTCTTTGTGAACAACAACACTGCATATGAATATGATGGCAAGTGGTTGTCAATGGTAGCACACATAATGTATACCATGAGACCAAATGTCCTTCAGTAAGGCATCTTGAAACAGTACTGAGAGACTAGGACCTGTAATGATGGTGTCACCTGGATGGAAGACAATGATGCAATTGAAAGTGTTCATGCTTATTGGAGGAGCATATGGTCCTCTTTCCTGGAGGTTTGTCAAGGATGTCCTGAGCTCACTTGCCATGTGTAAGGGTACTCACACATGGCAACTGATTTCAACACCACCTAACAGTCTGGTCAGAATGGCCATACAGTAGTGCTGGGCAGTTTGTCAATGGGACCATCCAGCTTCTCTCATTCCAATAATACAGTCTCTCAAACTATTACCTGGGCAAATTCTTTTTGATTGTGTCTTAAAGATATGTCCAGTGATCAAACATCCTTTCACAACAGAACTATAGACAAGATGCTTCCAAGAGCTTTTTTTAAGCTTAACACGGGAAGTACTGTTACACTCATCTAATGGCAAGCTCATTCATCTCATCACATCATATCTCTAATCATTTGCATATCTGCTTCAACATCTGAATGCCGAGTTTTTCCACAAAGCAGCAACAACTTCAGGGTGCATGATTTTTTTTTGCAAATGAGTATATATGTGTTACATATTTTTAATTTTAACCATTACATAAATAATAAGATGAAGAAAGTTTTATGATATTGTTTTAAATTTTCTTATCAAAAATCCATATTTAATTATAGATGTACATAGTTATAAAAACATATTCATTTCATTTTTAGTTAGTTACTGTTTTACATATATATCTTAGATCTTATATTCAAAAATTAAGTTTCATATTTTTAATAATATTTTGATTTTAAATGTAAGTAGTTTATAGAATTCTAAACTCAAGTGATTGCTATATAACAATAAGAAGAACAGTAAAAGTATTACACTATATTTTATCAACAATAAAGTATGATTTATATCTGATGTTAATTTATCAGAGTCTGCAGATAATTGAATGATAAAAAGAAGTATGATTTTCTCCTTATTATTCTTCCAAGTTAATTTTTAGTGAATTTTTAATTAATAAACAATTAAGGCATTTGTTAACAAATTGTAACTAATGTAAAGATAAAGATTTTTTTAAAGAAAATATAACAAATAAATAAATAGCATCAATTTGATAAAATTTGTTTCTGCAGACAAAAAAATTCCAGAAATGTTATTATATGGCAGATTTTCACATTTCTAAATGTAAGAAAGAATACACCATTGGAGAAATGTTCTTTGCAAATGCCTTTCATGGGCATTTACAATGAACTATTTGGCAAAGAACATGAAACAAAAATAAATTGCATTCCAATGTCAAATAATATTGTAAGGTTATGAATAATCAATATGTGTGATGACATTGAATTACAGTTGGTGGAAAAAATACAAAAATCTCAGTATTGTCCAATTCAACTGGACTAGGCATCCCCAATAAGACAGTCTCAGGGATTGATTGAAAAAAAATCTAATGGGTTATCTTTCTGGTTTTTAAATAACAGTTGTACTTGAAATTTGCCCAATTAGTATTTTATTTTGCATATGGCTTTTTCAAAATAAAAACAAAACAAAATCATTTTTAAATTAAGTGTTTTTTGTGATGGGAGTAGATACCACAGTTATAATTCATATAGTAACATTATAGAATAATACTGGAAAAAGATGTGATTATAAATATTCATAAAATTACATTTATTATTTTTCAGTACATTGCATTTTACTATGTTTGCAGTATCATAAATTTTGAAATATATATACAGGAAATTCTTATTAATTTGAACTTAGATAGTTTGTAACTGTACTGTTTGTTCCATCCAAGACTATAGAGATTTACATGTTAAGGAATTTTGTTAGTTTGAAATACAGCTACTTAAAATTCAAAGTGAAAATTCTGTCCAAACTGTGATAGGGTATGTTAACTCCTTTGTTTAGATCAAAATACCTTTGTACTATAAGAGAACAATAGATCAAGAACAAATTCTAATCTGGTTAATATGGTTTTGCTTTTATAGTAACACATTTTTTGGGTATCACCTTACCCATGGACTATCCTTTTTTTCTCTTATCTCATAAAAGACAACTGGGTAATTGGCATTGCAAGATTGGGCTAAAAGTAGCAGATTGAAATATTTGTAGGGCTCTACACTACTACATTTGTGCGACTTACTACTTTTTGGGCCACATTTTGGCTACATTTTGAGAAATTCTTCTTTACTTTTTATAAAACCCATCTGGCAACTTGTGAGGTTCTCACCTGATTTGTGCTGTTTATCTTCATATTTATATTATTTATAAAAATTTTATAAATAATTTTATTATTTGTTTTACATTATTTATTTTA